GCTATAGACTGTAATATAAAAGGTAGTTTTTTGTTGATTGTAAACTTGACCTTTGACCCTGACCCTTTAAAATACAATCATCTCGAGATCATTGGTTATGGAACATTGTGACCAAGTCGGGGACCAAGTTTGACGAGTTTGTGATAAAAACTGTGACCTGTAGGCTGTTCACAGACAAACATACACACAAACAAACATCGGCGAAACGAGTGGGTTAAGGGGGTTACGACGAACCGCCCAAAAACTGGAGAAGGTCCGGATTTGAAAACGACAAATTGATATTCGTAGATATATTTACATGTTCTCCAGAGTACCATACAAGCCAAAGGGTCCATTTCCAACTGAAACGAACCTCTCACATATTAAGTCACGCTACGGGTCTGTTCAGGTTACTAAAGTGACTCAAAAACAGCACTTAAAGTCTAATTATTCTCATTATTTATATTAATTAATTGGCTCAATTATCAGGGTAAACTTAGCATACCAAAGTATATACAGGCATACATGAACATAAGGATATCTTGAAAATCACTTGTAGACAAACAGGCATGAATCAGTATCAAAATAATAATTATGTAGTAGCAGAAGTAATAATTTAGTTACAAGCAAAAGTATGAAGGCATGCGGCACAGAAGTGTGAATTGAGGTTTCAAAGTCTTAGGCTTGGCATCTGCATAGGCAGGGGCAGATCCAGAGATGTCCAAAAGGGGGGGCCGAAAGGTGGGGCCGAAATTTGGGCCGATCGGGACAACACTGAAATAGGAGGTCCGGGGGCATGCCCCGGCGAAATTTTTGTGTTTTAGACGCCTGAAAATAACATTTGAGGCGTTCTGGGTTATCGTTTTTTCTTTTTCTTTCTTTTTTTCTTTTTTCTTTTCTTTTTTTTACCTCTAAAAATCCGCCCCTGATAGGGTTTGAACGTGAAAACTGTGTTCACTGCGAAACGTTGATTCGACCCGAACCACGTCCTAATTCACACAAAAACATGGTTGAGTTGAGTTGGCGCTGAGACTACATACAGCAATAGTATAAGTTTGGCGCTATTCAACAGTATAGGATGTATTGCATATAATATCATTTTTGTAATAATAACTTTGAAAAGTAAACTGCCTAGTAGTTGTAAACCTCGATTAAATAAATAGATCCAAAACAAATTTCCAAACCACTCTTAAAATAAACGTAAGGCAAGTAGATAACCTAAATAAAGTAAATTTAACTGAACTACGCTTTGTTAGCCAAATATTTTATTTCCAGAGCAGTATTAGGCTATTATAATATACTGGAATTCTTGCCAACAAGAGTTTCACTGGGTTGAATCCTACTTGGAGTTATTAGGCCTAATATTATGTGTGTTTCTTTTTTTAGGTGAGCAACATTTCCACGTTGTGTGACGTGAAGTCTTTTACTAATGGCTCTGTGATAGTTGAATTTGAGTTAAGTTTTTCTCAAGGCACCAACTACACAGTTGATACTCTTGCGGCTGAAGTAAATTCTTCAACATCCCAAGTGTTTTATGTACTTGACATAAATGTAGTAGGTGTGTACTATGGTATTATGAATTGTATCAATAATGCTCCCTCTATTACTTACAACTTGGGTTGCACAATGCACCAAACTGCAAATGTTACGTTAAGATATACTCACAGAGCAATTTGGGGATTAGTTATTTAAACCCATTAGTGGCATTCGTATACTTATAAGAACACACTGCGGCCAAATGCCATGGAGCGTTCTTTAAAAAGAAATAACTGAAATTAGTCGGTTTATCCAGGTAAGTACCCTATTATCATTACTGCTGATTTTTGAATTTTAGGGCTATATGTTAATACCCTATAAAAATGCAAAAATTTCCACTCTTACTGTTTGATGTAAAAAGTTACAAAAGGAAACGAATTGAAAAAAGGCTTTCTTGATTGTATTTTTTAACACCAATTTATATCTTCACCTTTATGGTAGAAATATAAAACTTAATAATGAAACAAATACAATTTTAAAATCTATCTTTAAATGAACGAATCATATTGATTTTGATTGTTGTAGGCTGGTATGACTCATTGTATCTTACTAATTTGTCTAAATTTAACATTGCAGATTTAAATGAGCCAGAAATTGTGTGTCCAGATGACTATAGCGAGTTAATGGACGACAGTTGTTTTGATGATCCTGTGTTTGAAGTCAATGCAACTGATCATATTGGCAATTTGCTCAGTGCTACCTGTACTCCAATGACTTTCAATAGCACTGGAAACTATACCATAACTTGTTCGGTTACTGACATGGCAGACAACTTTGCATCGTGTGTATTCTTTTACACTCTGTCGGGTAAGTTATTTAATACATCATGTACCTGATTTGTTTTTTGTTATTTGATGTAAGCTTGAATGATTACAATTGGTGGGATATATTATTAATTTTACTCACAGATGAAATTGCACCAAATATCACTTGTCCAAGTGACGTTGAGGTTTGTGCCGACCAAGGAAGTGATTCAACAAATGCCACCTGGGAATCAGCCAATGCAACGGACAACTGCTGTAGTGATGTCAACATAACTGCTAACTACACCAGTGGAGAACCTCTGTCACTTGGTGTATACACAGTAGGATATGCAGCAACAGATTGTAATGAGGTCACTGGCTACTGTCAATTTACTGTGGAAATTAAAGGTATACTAAATTTACTAAAATGAAATTTAGATACCTGTTTTATTTTTATGATGAATGTGAGTTACGCCGATGAACTGTAGCCATTATCCATAAATAATGAAGATTCTTTCGTATCATTTAGTTCCCGATGTAACTGTTCTCTTTTTGTGTTTCAGCTGAAAGGCCAAAATACATTATAATATATTTTAGAAGAGAGCGGTTTAACCCGTTTTCCCTTAGTGCAATATGGCCCATATACATGTTAAAGTAATTAGTGCACACTTTTGTGGGTTATGCTAAGGGTGTTTCACATTAAAGAACCAACTAGCTAACTAATACAAAAATTTGATTCATAACTATTTATAAGTAAAGTAACCAAGTTTAGTTTGGTAAGGATGAATCTATATAGATAAGCACTATTTCCTACAATAATTCTTATTATTAAGGATTAATTTTATTTTAGAATGTGAAAAAGAGTTCTAAGGCTGTCAGTTTTTTTTCTTCCAAAACAAGATATTTTTTGTTAAAAATTTTAATTTAATTATAACTACGTTAATTTCTTCATTGTATGTATCAGCAATACATTTTTAGTTGTAAGCTTAAGGATAAAAGTCCAGCTTGCAGAACGTTTTACCATAAAATTGAAGTACATTTTAAAGGTTGAAAGTCCCATTGCACAAAAAATAAAATGTGCTTATGTGGTAACATTGATTGTGACTTTGGTTAGCTAGTACATAAGATGTGTATAAGAGACAGGTTTGGCGCTATTCAACAGTATAGGATGTATTGCATATAATATAATTTTTGTAATAATAAATTCGAAAAGTAAACTGCCTAGTAGTAATATCATTAAAGTAAATATAGTTGTAAACCTCGATTAAATAAATAGATCTAACTAAATAAAGTAAATTTAGCTGAACTACGCTTCGTTAGCCAAATATTTTATTTCCAGAGCAGTATTAAGCTATAATAATATACTAGAATTCTTGCCAACAAGAGTTTCACTGTGTTGAATCCTATTTGGAGTTTTTAGGCCTAATATTATGTTTGTTTCTTTTTTCAGGTGAGCAACATTTCCACTTTGTGTGAAGTAAAATCTTTCACTAATGGCTCTGTCATCGCTAGATTTGAGTTACGTTTTTCTCAAGGCACCATCTACACAGTTGATACTCTTGAAGCTGAAGTAAATTCTTCAACATCCCAAGTGTTTCATGTACTTGACATAAACGTAGTAGGTGTGTACTATGAATTGTGTCAATAATGCTCCCTCTATTGCTTACAACTTGGGTTGCACAATGCACCAAACTGCAAATGTTACGTTAAGATATACTCACAAAGCAATTTGGTGATTAGTTATTTAAACCCATTAGTGGCATTCGTATACTTATAAGAACACACCGCGGCCAAATGCAATGGAGCTTTCTTTAAAAAGGAATAACTGAAATTAGTACCCTATTACCATTACTGCTGATTTGTGAATTTTTGGGCTATGTGTTAATACCCTATAAAAATGCAAACATTAACCAACCAGCTAACTAATACAAAAGTTTTGATTCATATCTATTTATAAGTAAAGTAACCAAGTTTAGTTTGGTAAGGATGAATCTATATAGATAAGCACTATTTCCTACAATAATTCTTATTATTAAGGATTAATTTTAATTTAGAATGTGAAAAAGAGTTAAGGCTGTCAGTTATTTTTTCTTCCAAAACAAGATATTTTTTGTTAAAAATTTGAATTTAATTATAACTACGTTAATTTCTTCATTGTATGTATAAGCAATACATTTTTAGTTGTAAGCCTAAGGATAAAAGTCCAGCTTGCAGAACGTTTACCATAAAATTGAAGTACATTTGGTTGAAAGTACAAAGGTTGAAAGTCCCATTGCACAAAAAATAAAATGTGCTTATGTGGTAACATTGATTGTGACTTTGGTTAGCTAGTACATACACTGTTTGCTTGCATCATTGATTATGTTATGTACAGAATTTTCTGAATAAATGAGATGCAAGGGAAAAAAAGGATTATATTTTGTAAAGTCACAGCTTTTTTTATTTTTTTTTAAAAAGATTGTGAGCCTCCCGTGCTTGAATGTCCATCAAACCAAAATGTAAATGGTGATTCTGACTGTATGGCAACTGCATTGTGGGCTGAACCCAATGTCACAGACAACTCAGGAGAGAGTTTTTCAGCTGTATGTGATTACATGAGTGGAGACACTTTCTTTGAACTCAACACTACTGTCACTTGTAATGCTACCGATGATTATGACAACACTGGGTACTGTATATTCAACATTTTCATTATTGGTAAGATATTTGGAAGACTTATATAGACATTTGAGGGGGGTGGGGGTGGCAGCAGCTGACTTATACATACATCCACTCACTACCTACACACAGACAAATATACATATATGCTTTTATAGTGCATGTATATGTATTTATTAAACACGAATATTTTGTCCACTCCTGTGGACTTCATCAGCGTGAGTGATGGGCAGTACTAAAACTTATGCGAAATAAACAAAAATAGTAAATAAGAATTAACTAGAGAGCGGAGTTGTTATCTAAAGTAAGAAAGCTTACTAGCAAAGACAATGTCTTAATGCTGAGTATAGATAAACAATAAGGAATGAGAAAGCAGATAATGGCTGTTCCCACGATATGCTGACTGTGAGGGGATGG